CTAACTATTTTCATTCTCATTGGCGCCAGGTAAACCATGGTGATAGAAGAAAGGAAGTGATTGAAAGAAGGAAGAAAATTGATCACCGTCATGAATGAATTAATTGCCATGTATGAATTGATTGCATTTGGATTAATTACGCTTGATTACTTTATGTGAATTATTTGTTTACCAAAGATAGAGTCGATTTGAGGAAGAAAAGAAAATCGGCAGGGAGAAAACCGGTGGGGAGAAAACTGGTGGACGGAGAAAAGAAAATCGCTAGAGGGGAGGGGGGGTCGTACGAAGGGTTTGACGAAGAGGGGGAACATAAGAAGGGAAACGAAACACTAAGTTTTTTTAGATAGTAGAGATAGAGATTACGTACCTTACGTAATAACCAACATGGACAAGTAGGATTGGATGTAAGAGGATTAAGGGGCCCATCACCTGAAAATCAGAGGGAAGAGAATTATGGTAAGGAAGGTTACATTACTACCGTAGTTTCCTTCGTAGATGGAGCATTATCGTAAAATTATACATGCTACCAAAGAAAAAAGAGGAGTCCATTTTTCTTTTATTTTACTTAGAGTAACTCCACCGGCCGACCCAAATGACACCGATTTTGTCCGTTTTTTGTCCGTTTGGGTCGCCGGTCCGCGCGTCTGTGTCCGCTTTTTTCCTTTGGGTCTGTCGATGCGCCCAATGCGGACAAACACATTTTGGACATGTCCGCATCGGTATTCGGTCGAACACCTAGTGGGCGAACTCCCATGCCACTTCGACCCGGCCCCGGCGCACGCGAGCTCGCCTCCGCACCGCACCTCGGCCTCTTCCGGCGCCGCAGCTCGCTACAGTCGCCGCGCCAGCTTTGCCGCTGCTCGCCGTGTCCGCTCGGCCGCGCGCACGCCGCGACAGCCCCGCCCCGCTTGCCTGCTAACCGCGCGCGCCCGCTGCGACCGCTCTGCAGCGGCCCGGTCGGACACTCGTGCGCCACGGCCGCCACACAAGCTGGGCCGCGCCCCGCTCGCCCCGCCTGCCTCGCACGTCCCGCAGCTCGGCCGCTCGCCAGCTCGTCGCTGCTCTGCCCGTGCGGAACGACATGCGAGCAACCTAACAGTCGACGGCGAGCAGGAGGTGGTCGAGCGGGACGGTGAGGGCGACAGGCGCGTCGGAGCAGAGGAGTGCGCCTCGAGGAGAGGAGAAGATAGGTGGGGTGGGGTGGGCCAGCGAATAAATTAAAGAGAGGGAGGTGGGTGGGCTGGTGACAGGTGGGTCAGGCCCGGACACAGGCGGACGAGGTGGGCGCAGAATACGTCCGTTTTGTGTCCTCCTCGAACCCAATTGTGACCCAAATTTAGGATGAAAATGGGTCCGAATGGACACAAAACGAACACGAAATGGAAATGGGTTTGCGGTTGGGCCGACGCTTTTGTCTTTTTTGACCCAAACGGACACGTGCGGACGAAATGGGTCCGCCCGTTGGAGTTGCTCTTATATCATATAATATGTTTATTTTAATTCCAAGTTTCAAAAGATTGACCAAGTTTATATATAAAAGTATCAATATTCATGATACCAGATTAGTATTACTAGATCATCATTGAATATATTTTTGTACTATACTAATTTGATATTGTAGATGCAGAAATCCGTTGGTGCTTCCGGGAGCGCGCGCTCCTACACGCGAATTTTTTTTAAAGTGTGAAAAAATTCCAAACAAAATTTTGGCTCATACATCTCGACATTATATATGTGCACGACAAGTTTCGGAGAAAACCGACATTTTTTGTGGCTTGTGTAAAAAAGACAAAATGATGTTTTGTGAAAAGCATTTTTTAACACTAGATTTCGTCTTTTTCACGCACGACATGTAAGTTGTTGGTATTTCACAAAACGACTTTGTGAGTACATACAATATCGAGATGTACACCCCAAATTTTTGTTTGGAATTTTTTGACATTTCAAAATATGTTTAAAACACATTTTGAAAACCAGGAGCGCGCTCCCATGTGCCAAAAGGCCACTCTCATAGTAGGTGTTGTTATTTTTTTGATAGTATAACTTTACAACTTTTGATTTCAGTCAACGAGGATATGAGAATAAAAAAGAACGGGGAATAAACTGTGCTCCAAATATATTTTCGTTTGAAAGGACCATATCCGAGCTCCTAAGGCACCGAAGCTGCGTCCGGACATCAGACAGTCCGGACATTTGTGGGCGAATAGTTCAGATAATTTTGGTGAGCCATGTTGGACAGCTAAAAAATCTGCACCGGTTAGTTCGAACATTTGCGGGTGAATAGGTTATCCTCGTTGGAGGTGCCCTTGTGCATGCAATGGCTGTGAAAAAGGTACTCCCTCCGGATAGCAGTGTTTTGGCTTCCAATCTTAGATGAGCCCGGGACTGAACAAAAAAAGTTTAAACTATTAAAAAAGAATAAAAATTCTGATTCTTTTTTGTGAAGAAAGATGATTGAGTGCATGATGTCTATATCAAATTTCAGAGCATTTAGATGTCTAAGTAGTTTTCAGCAAAAAAGACAAATTTGAGGTTTTTGATTTTTTTTTTACTGTTTGTGCACTGTTCAGACCTGATTTTGTTAGATGTCCGAATGATTTGAAATTTGGCAAATACCTCACGCACTCAATCATCTTACATGGAAAACAAAGTCAGGATTTTTCAAAATTTTCTAGTATTTTTTTTGAATTTACTGTTCATCGTGTGCAGATGAGCCTGGGCACAACATTGGATATTTGCTCCCTCCGCCACATAATATAAAAACATTTTGCAAGCTAAAACAGCTTGCAAAATATAAATATTTTGCAAGCTAAAATAACTTGCAAAACGCGAAAATACAAAGTTGAACATGGTGCGCCAGCGCCCGCGTGAATAGTAAATACACAAAAAATACTAGAAAAGTTAAAAATTTCTGAAATTTAGCGGTATGAACCTTAGTCGATCCATGATGTATTGACACCCATGTTATTTTTAGTGAAAAAAATACAAATGCGGCTATACTATTCATTAAATAGTGTTTTTTAATATAGCTTCGATTTGTCATTTTTGACCAGATTATCACGGATGTGATTTTCTCGTCAAACTTCATATGTGAGTATACCGGTTGACTATGTATATTAAAGAAATAAATTCAGATTTTTTCTAGGATTTTTTTGAATTTACTATTCATAAAAGATGAGCGTGCATCCATGTTCATGAAATTCAGGTCCTGCAAAACGTTCTTATATTATGAAAAGCATGTATCAAAAGTATGTTTAGCTTAAGTTATGATACACGTTCTTATATTATGAGAAGCGTGTGTATCAAAGGGAAATGTTTCGAGCCGGCAGGCCGGCCGAAGCTTTCGTCCGGTCTCACGCGGGTCGCTCGATCAAAACGAAATCTTGCGGCTTCCTGCACGCGCACGCTTTTGTTAAGTGGACCCCATGCGCCGCTGAACCGCTGAAATCTTATCTCTTCCTCGAGCTGCGACTTTATCCTCTCAATCTCGTCTTTTCCTATGTCTTTCCCTCCCCGCAGCAGCCATGGCCTTGCCTGCTCGATCGCAAGTTCGCTGCCATGGAACAACTCCAAGCTCGCTCCTACGAGCACCTCCACAGCCACAACAAAAAACAAGAGCTCACTTATGGGAATTGCCCCCGTTTTGCAACTCCGGCGACCCTCCTCTGCCCCTCCCTCACGCAGCAGCCATGGCCGGTGGAAATTCTGACCGATTTTTTATGCCAACCAGTTGTAGCTTTTTGGATCGCCGGTAGTAGCTTCTGCTAAACCAGTTGTGTCTTTTTTAAATCATCTTGTTCAAGCTTTTTCTTCAAAAATCTGTTTCTTGCATCTTTTTTCTAAAATCATTGGTTCCAGCTTTTAAAATAACTGGTTGTAGCATTTTGTTCAATTGGTTGTAGCATTCCGTTCAAGCGCAAGCTTTTTGCTATAATCATAGCCTGTTTTGCTACCACCGGTAAATCCTTTTGCTACAGGCATGCACGGCGGTGTTGGTCGACGGCGGTGATGTTTTTTTTTTTGCTGCAACCTTTTCTGAGTTTGCTGGAACGAGCGCCCAAATTTGCTACCATCGCCTTTTTGATTTTGCTGGAAGGAGCCGCCCAAAATGCCTTCACCGGATTTGGCTTTTGCTGGAACCCGCTCCAGAAATTGCTACCACCGGCTTTTTGGTTGTGAGCATGCCGTCGCCTACCATTGATGCTGCAACCGGTATGGTGCGGCCGACATTCATGGTGCGACGAGCTGCAACTGAGGGTCTGCTCTATCTTTTGTTACAACCATCATCGGCGTTTGCTACAACCGACAACGAAATTTGCTGCGACGAAAATAGCCAGGCGTTTGCAACCAGCAAGGGGTCTTCCTCCATGGTGACGGCAAGCTCGGGGTAGCCGGCGAGCACGCGGCGGCCGAGGGCGAGCACGCAGCGGCCGAGGGCTAGAACGGCAGCCATGTTTCCTTTGTTATTTCTCGCATGGAAAGGATACGTGAAGGAGGAAAGATGCGTTGGGCGCCTAGCAGTCGCCTGTATCAAAAGTCTGTACAGCTTAAGTTATGATACAGAATGCGTGACGGTAGACATTGACCGAACTCCTCACTGTACGAAGTGTACAGTACATTCACATTCACTAGTGTACAGTACATCACATTCACTAGTACTCCTTCCGTTCTTAAATATAAGACCTTTTAGATATTTAGATATTAAAACATGAACTGCATATGGAGTAATAGTGAATCAACACTCAAATACGTTTGTATACATCCGTATGTAGTCCATATTGAAATCTCTAAAAGGCCTTATATTTAGAAACGGAGGGAGTACATCAATGGTGTTGTCTATATGACTATATGTGGCATTGTTTGAGCAATGACTTGACTTGCAAGAATCCAAATACGTATAATGTATATACATTAATCCCAGTTAAATATATGTAACATTGTCTCAGTGACTCTATAAGTATTTATTGGAAAAATCTCAGTGCCGGCAGCAACTCATCATTTTAAACATTGAGAACCTGACAGCTAATAAGCTCAGCAGCCCCAAAGTTCTTCGAGGCTACTATGTTCCATAAGACGTTTTCTTCAGGTGCATCGTTTCCCGTGTTATTCTCCAATACAGCTTGCATAACTTGAAGATTATTGTTTGCCTCTTTTGTAATAACATGGAGCTTCCCATGAAGGCCAGCGAGTAAATAAGGAGACTCCGCATCAGTGAAATCATGAACTGGAACGTGTGGTACCATAGTTCTCCAGACATCTTCTTCAGCATCATACCTTTTTATCTGTCCACTGTCCAAGGAGCTGGAAGGCTCCAATGTATAAAGCTCATCATTGACTACAACACCTAATTTTGTGCCTGCTTGCCTTGCTGGCCATCCATCGCCAAGACCGTCTGGCATAGTTGACCAAGAGTTTAATTCTGAGTCATAGATTTCACCTCCAATATCAAAAAAGAATGGCCATGAGTACAGGCTCTGAGGAACATAGAGCTTTCCGTTATAGGATGCCATCCCAGTGGCGATAGGCTTCAGCACATCGGCCAAGAAAGCTGTCGGTAGTACCTGTGCTTTCACGAAAGGCATTTCCGGCAACTCACTCCATAAACCAGTTTTCGGATCAAACACTTCACCCGACCGTAGAGGAAGCAATCCGTTCCGACCCCTACTAACACCACCAACCACATACAACTTACTCTCCAATAATGATGCCTTAGAGAAAGCCCTACCAGATATCATCGGGTTAACTTCCTGCCACAAATTGACACAAGGGTCATACCTCCACACGCAATTCAAGGCAACAGCTTTGGAAAAACCCCCTAAGACATACAAGCAACCATCAGCAACTCCGACAGAGCACCCACAAAAAGGCATTTGATCCAAACCATATCGGCGCCAAAACCATCCCCTAAAGAAATCAGCAATCCTGATGCTTGAGCCCACTACATTCCACATCCGAAACACAGAATACTGCGTCCTCCCAGTGGAGTCCGCCTCATTGGCGAATGAAGGCATGGATGGCAGCCTTTGCCATTTCTGGAACAATGGATCGAGTGCATAGCATTCAAGCTTATTTGCCTCAACTCTGGTCAGTATATACAACCATTCTTCAGTTAACCCAAGCTCTTTTCTCAGCTGGGCAAGCTCAGCGCCGGTGATTGCCGCCTTCCAAGTTTGGCTAACCAACTTCATCTTTAGGTAATGAATCCGTGGTAACCTTGCTAGAATTTGAAATGAAAGCTCATCAGGAAGAGTCGGAATTATCCTCGAATATGACCCACAGTCATATGGGGTTATCTTGGCCCTTTTGTTTGAAACTGATCCATGTACCTCGTCTGAATCCATGGATCGAGCCTTACTGACTGCAGTGCTTAGATAAGAGCCCATCTTGTCTCGTTTATCTTCAAAGTCAGATAACTCGCTGTTGTGTCATCCCTCAACCTGGTTTGGAAGGAAAAAATTTGAAATTATATGCATATCGGCTTCACCATACCCGAAAAAACATAATAGTGCACAAAATCTACAATAGGACAAACATACCAGTTGCATTTATTAACCAAAAAAACTCTAACTAAACAGTACGAGGCCAACATTGTTTCAACTACAGTAACAAAAAAAATCTACAAGCCTCAACCACGAGTGTAGGACCACGTCTAGTGCCAGAAACCTCAATTCTAACCGAATTCGTCTGAAATTTATATGATCGATAATCAAAGCGATACAAATTTGATCAAGCACCTTTTCCCACAACCAATTCCACCCTAGAGACCTCAACTATGACCCAAATCCATGCAGACCAGACCTAACTACGACGCCCACCAGTTCATCAATCTATTATCAGAAGACCCCCGCCTGGCATAAACAACCTAGTCGGACGCCTTACGGAGCCGCCCTGTCCCACGGGGTCGCGAGACATCTGATGCAATATTATTAACAGTAACTTGCACAGAATCGCGATTCGAGCGGGGAATTGGGACCAATCGAGGCTTACCGAGAAAGGATCCACACAGTAGATGATGAGCAGGAGGACTGGACACGAGTAGCTGCTAAGGATCTCGCCGCGCCCGGTGGACAAGTTCTAGGTGGGTGCGTTGCGTGTGTGGCGGAGGGAGAAACGAAGCGAAGGGAGGGGCGCTTCGGCGAAGGGCGGCAGGTTCGCAGGGAATGGGTGGTGCGCTGGAGGCGGCCAGACGACCTTTGCGTGCAGACGTCGTGTTGCAGCCAAGCATCGGGTCCACCGCCCAAGGATAGCATCTTAGCTAGTCCTGGCCATGGGCAGCCCGGCCCGAAAAGCCTGACCCGGCCCGGCCTGGGCCCATCATTTTCGCGTTTTTTTGAAGGACAGGCCGGGCCAGCCCAAAGCCCGACGGCCTTTTACGTGTTCGGACCGGGCTTGGGCCCAAAAAACAGGCCCGACGATCGGGCCGGACCAGGCTCGGGCCTGGGTTGCCCGAGCCCGGCCCGACCCGAGGTATGGCCAGGTATAATCTTAGCAGATGCTCTCAAAATTTCGTTTACAGTATTCCGTAAACAAAATTTACGGGACGGCGGAAGGACGGACAGAATAGATCCTGTTAAACGTCTCCGCATTTCTACTCTATTTAAAACATCTAGTTCACACCATAGATTATTCATACAAGCATAGTTTATCATACAACTAAAAATAGATAATTCTGCACATAGCACACCGATAGATAGGTCAAACATAAACTACTAAAACTAGATAATTCATACTAGAATCTACTCCTCGCCGTAGTCGTTGTCGTCGTTGGAGTCGTCGTCGCGGGGCGGGGGCTCGTTGCTGTGGAGGGTGTGGTAGATGAGCGTGACAGAGAGGGTCGAGATGTGTTGGTACTCCTCCCGGAGCGCCGGCAGGCGCGCGAGAACAGCTGTTTCTCCGGCATGTGTTGTCATTTGATGAATGGGATCACATCATCAGTGGAATGATGTGATGGACAAGACCCATCTGTTAGCATAAGCCTAATGATCGTTCAGTTTTGTTGCTACTGCTTTCTTCGTATCAAATATATATTCCTCCGACTATGAGATTATGCAACTCCCGGACACCGGATGAATGCCTTGTGTTCTATTAAACGTCACAACGTAACTGGGTGATTATAAAGATGCTCTACAGGTATCTCCGAAGATGTTTGTTGGGTTGGTATAGATCGAGATTAGGATTTGTCACTTCGAGTATAAGAGAGGTATCTCTGGGACCTCTCGGTAATGCACATCATATGAAGCCTTGCAAGCAATGTGACTAACGAGTTAGTTACGGGATGATGCACTACAGAACGAGTAAAGAGACTTGCCGGTAACGAGATTGAACTAGGTATGAAGATATCGACGATTGAATCTCGGGCAAATAACATACCGATGACAAAGGGAATAACGTATATTGACATTGCGGTTCGACCGATAAAGATCTTCGTAGAATATGTGGGAAAAAATATGAGCATCCAGGTTCCACTATTGGTTATTGACCGGAGAAGTGTCTTGGTCATGTCTACATAGTTCTCAAACCCGTAGGGTCCGCACGCTTAACGTTCGATGACGATATGTATTATATGAGTTATGTGTTTTGGTGAGCGAAGGTTGTTTGGAATCCCGGATGAGATCACGGACATAACGAGGAGTCTTGAAATGGTCGATAGGTAAAGATTGATATATTGGAAGGTTATATACGGACACGGGAATAGTTCCGGAAAGATTCGGGAATTTTTCCGAGTACCGGGAGGTTACTGGAACCCCCGGGAAAGTTAATGGGCCTCATGGGCCATAGTGGAGAGGAGGAGGCAGGCCACAAGAGGTGGCGCATGCGCCCCATGGCAGTTCGAATTGGACAAGAGGTGGGAGGGCGGCCCCCCTCTCCTTCTCCCCTTCCCCTCTTTCCCCTTTCGCCTCTCCGTTCGAAGGAAGGAGTCCTAGTGGGACTCCCCCCACTTGGCGCGCCCCTAGAGGCCGGCGGCCTCCCCCTCCTCCTTTATATATGGGGGCAGGGGGGCACCCCAAAGACACAACAACAGTTGTCTCTTAGCCGTGTGCGGTGCCCCCCTCCAGCGTTTACTCTCCCGGTCATATTATCTTAGTGCTTAGGCGAAGCCCTACGCGGATCACTTCACCAACACCGTCATCACGTCGTCGTGCTGACGAAACTCATCGACTCCTTCGTGCCTCTACTAGATCAAGAGTTTGAGGGGCGTCATCGAGCTGAACGTGTGCAGAACTCGAAGGTGCCGTACGTTCGGTATTTGACCGGTCGATTTGAGAAGACGTTCGACTACATCAATCGCGTTAAGTTAACGCTTTCACTTTGGGTCTACGAGGGTACGTGGATACACTCTCCCCTCTCGTTGCTATGCATCTCCTAGATAGATCTTGCATGAGCGTAGGATTTTTTTTGAAATTGCATGCTACATTTCCCAACAGTGGCATATGAGCCAGGTCTATGCGTAGATGATATGCACGAGTAGAACACAAAGAGTTGCGGGCGATGATTGTCATACTGCTTACCACCAATGTATTATTTTGATTTGGTGGTATTGTTGGATGAAGCAGCCCGAACCAACCTTACATGAACGCGTTCATGAGACCGGTTCCTCCGATTGACATGCAACTAGTTTTGCATAAAGATGGCTGGCGAGTGTCTATTTCTCCAACTTTAGTCGAATCAAATTTGACCGCGGCCGGTCCTTGTGAAGGTTAAAACAGTAAACTTGATAAATCACCATTGTGGTTTATGTACCATAGGTATGTACGGTTCATGCTAGAAGCCCGTAGCAGCCACGTAAAACTTGCAACAAATAAAGTAGAGGACGTCTAACTTGTTTTTGCAGGGCATGTTGTGATGTGATATGGTCAAGACATGATGTGATATAAAGATTGTTGTATGAGATGATCATGTTTTGTAAAAGTTATCGGCAACTGGTAGGAGCCATATGGTTGTCGCTTTATTGTATGAAAGACAAGTGTTGTGTAATTGCTTTACTTTATCACCAAGCAGTAGCGATAGTCATAGAAGCAATGGTTGGCGAGACGACCACGACACTACGATGGAGATCAAGGTGTCAAGCTGGTGACAATGGAGATCATGACGTTGCTTCGATGTTGGAGATCAAAAGCACAAGATGATGATGGCCATATCATGTCACATATTTTGATTTCATGTGATGTTTATCTTTTATGAATCTTATTTTGCTTAGTACGGTGGTAGCATTATAAGATGATCCCTTACGAAATTTCAAGGTATAAGTGTTCTCCCCGAGTATGCACCGTTGTGAAAGTTCTTCGTGCTGAGACACCACATGATGATCGGGTGTGATAAGCTCTACATTCAAATACAACGGGTGCAAGCCAGGTTTGCACACACGGAATACTCGGGTTAAACTTGACGAGCCTAGCATATACAGACATGGCCTCGTAACACTGGAGACCGAAAGGTCGAACGTGAATCATATAGTAGATATGATCAACATAGTGATGTTCACCATTGAAGACTACTCCATCTCACGTGATGATCGGACATGGTTTAGTTGATTTGGATCACATATCATTTAGATGACTAGAGGGATGTCTATCTAAGTGGAGTTCTTAAGTAATTTGATTAATTGAACTTTAATTTATCGTGAACTTAGTCTAGATAGTATTTGCAAATTATGTTGTAGATCAATAGCTCGCGTTATAGCCCCCTATGATTTTTTTGATATGTTCCTAGAGAAAACTAAGTTGAAAGATGATAGTAGCAATGATGCGGACAGGGTCCGTGATCTGAGGTTTATCCTCATTGCTGCACAGAAGAATTATGTCCTTGATGCACCGCTAGGTGACAGACCTATTGCAGGAGCAGATGCAGGCGTTATGAACGTTTGGCTAGCTCAATATGATGACTACTTAATAGTCTAGTGCCCTTTATGGCTTAGAACCGGGACTTCAAAATGTTTTGAATGCCACGGAGCATATGAGATGTTCCAAGAGCTGAAATTGGTATTTCAAGCTCATGCCCGTGTCGAGAGGTATAAGACCTCTAACAAGTACTTCGCCTCCAAGATGGAGGAGAATAGCTCAACCAGTGAGCATGTGCTCATAATGTCTGAGTACTACAATTGCTTGAATCAAGTGGGAGTTAATCTTCCAGATAAGATAGTGATTGACAGAGTTCTCTAGTCACTATCACCAAGTTACTGGAACTTCATGATGAACTATCATATGCAAGGGATGACAAAAGCGATTCCCGAGATCTCCGTGATGCTGAAATCGGCGAAGGTAGAAATCAAAAAAAAGCATCAAGTGTTGATGAGACCACTAGTTTCAAGAAAAGGGCAAAGGGAAAGAAAGGAAACTTCAAGAAGAATGGCAAGCAAGTCACTCTCATGAAGAAGCCCAAAGCT